TAAAGTTGCTGCAGTCAGCTTTGCTCAACAATATCAATATCACTGAAGTCAGCTTACTTTTTTGTAAATCGACTGATACTTTTTATTGTTTGGGCTTTCATAAGATAGCTCTTATACTTTTAATTTGAAACATTCAGATGATAGGCTGATTAAAAGAGTTATAGTATGATGAAAATGCGACTGGAAAAACCGATAAAAAGTAAAGGAAAAAAAGAAATTTTATAGCCGATGATGCTTTAAACATTTGGAAATTACGATAGCATTTTAATAAACGCACTGTTTTTTGTTTTTTGAAAGAATATGATTTTGAATAGTCCAGCAAATTTTTTTTTTTAATGTTTCAAGACACATGATTTTGAATAGCCGTAGTGTTTTTTTGGAATGAATTTTTTTGAGCAAAAACATGATTAAGGCCAAAGTGAGACGTTTTCATTCAGTAAAATTTGTTTACTTCATAGTTCATTGTTACAGTCGGGCTTTCTTTACCGTGGTTCAGCGAGAAATTGTTGCAGTTTCAGTGAAAAATGTAAAAAAAAAGAACAGTTCTGTGATCATCTGTTGTTCATAGTTTGATCCGAATTCTCGTGAAATAGAAAATTGTTTAGGCGTATGTTGACACAGTTGGTCCAAAACAAACGTATCAGGCTATGCTGCAAGAGAAATTCCCCGGTGTACAGATCACTGTTTCAGAAAAAGCAGACTCAAAATTTCCAATTGTTGGAGCTGCTTCTATTGTCGCCAAAGTAACATTTATAATTACTGCAGCCAGACTACAGTCCATTTTTATAGCAATTTAGTACCACCATAAAACTGGCGTAGAAAACAAATTTCCTTACTTTTGTTAACAATTCTTAATTTTGCATTGTGCTGGCCTGAAAAAATACGCCATTTTTGAGTGGGCCGTTACAGAGAGGCATGAAATTTTGAGGTATCTTTCTTTCTTATCATGGTAATATGGGGCATTTTGTTGCAATCCTACACTCACATTGGCCATTTAAGTTTAAAAATTTATTCAAATAATTCAGGTGAAGCGTGACGAGATTTTGAGAGATTGGACATTTCCGGAAGGCGATATCTGCACGCCCGAAGATGGTTATGGAAGTGGTTATCCTGGAGGTTATTTCTTGATGTGTCATGCCCCCATGCTAG